TTTTACAGTAGTGGTCCTATGCAGTATTTCTCCTTTTGTGACTGACTAATTTCACTCAACATAATGTCCTCAAGGTTCATCCATACTATGTGGTGGCTTGTAGCTTCCTTGTTATTCTTAAAGGTATCATAATATTCCATTGTGTGTATGTACCACAGTTTGTTTATCCACTCTTCAGTTGATGGGCACTTAGACTGTCTCCATTTTTTTACTATTGTAAATAGTGCTGCTGTGAACATTGGTGTGCATATATCTTCTAAGGTTGTGGCTCGTTTTTCTTTTGGGTAAATACCAATTAGAGGAATTGCTGGATCAAAAGGTATTTCCATCCTTCTTAGGAAGTGCCATATTGCTTTCCAGAGAGGTTGGACCCCCCTCTCTGCAATCCCACCAGCAATGCAGGAGTGTCCCAGTGTCTCCACATCCCCGCCAATATTTATTGTCCTCTACTTTTTTGATCTTTGCTGTTATTGTTGATGTGAGATGATATCTCATTGTTGTTTTGATTTGCATCTCTCTAATGGCTAGTGATCGTGAGCATTTCTTCATATGTTTGTTGGCTGCCCGGATCTCCTCCTTGGTGAAGTGTCTGTTCATGTCCTGTGCCCATTTTTTAATTGGGTTATTTGTCTTTTTCTTGTAGAGGTGTTGTAGTTTCCTATTGAGTGCCTTGTCTTGATGTGTCATTGCAAAAGATTTTTTCCCATTCTGTGGGTTCCCTTTTTACTCTTCTGGTGAAGTCTTTTGATGCACATAAATTTTTAATTTTTGGTATGTCTCACTCATCTATTTTGTCTACTTTTGTTTCTATAGTTTTCAAAATCTTTGGTACTCTGTGTATTCCCTGAACTAGTGCCCTCACATTTGTCCATATTTTTTCATTGATGGCTTATTATAACAATTCTTGACATAACCATATTTATAGTATAATGTACAAAGCAGAGGAAGCTGTAACTCACCTTAGAATATCTCTCATTCAGTAAACATTAATTTGGTGTGGTGTAAATGGTTACCTGCTTTACTTCCAATAGAAAGGTGCTTTGGAACACAGGCCTGGCAGTCTGCTCCCATGTGGTCACAGCTTTGCAAACTGTACTCAGAAATTTGTACTCTAGATACATGGGGTGCCGTGAGTAGGAATCGACTCATTGGCTACTAACAACAGTGCTCCAGATGTTGTGCAGAATGTTGGCGATATTCATATAAAATCCCTTTCTTCAATCATGTTTAATGGAAGAAGAGGGATGTAATGATTCTAATTTTGGGAATTTACTAGACTTGCCATATCTAGAAGGAACCAAAACAATTTCTCTGGAGTAAATAAGGAATCTTTTGGAAATGGATAAAAAAGCTTAAAAGTATATGACTTGGAGAGCATACTGTATTTGATCAATTTCATAGCCAGAAAGAAAGGAGCATTCTTATTGGTAGCATCTATGAAATGTCACATATACTGGTGGTGCAATGGGTTATGAGTTGGGCAGCTCATCACAAGGTCAGCATTCTAATCCACCAGCTGCTCCATGGGAGATATATGAGGTTTTCTGCTCCCATAAAGATTTACAGTTATGGAAACCCTCTGCAAGGTCGTTGTGAGTCTGAACTGAATCAACAGCACATAGCTGCCACCACCACCACCACTACTACCGCCATGAAATATCATCTTTATCATGTAAAAGTTAAGGAAGTAGGGGAAGCAAAATTGGAAAACAAAAAAGTAGAGCTTGAGAAAAGAGTTAGTTATATATGGTATAAACTACGTATACTGACGTTATTGTTGTTAAATGCCGTCGAGTTGGTTCCGCCCCATAGTGACCCTGTATAGGATTTCTGAGGAGTGACTGATCAGCTTGAACCGCCGACCTTGCGGTTCAAACCAACTTTGAAGGCTAGCATATTAACCCACAGCGCCACACTGGTGGGAAAGAAAGCCAGTGGCCAAGAAACAGCTTAGAAGAGTGGAGAAAAGCCACTGCCAGGGTCAAACGTTGGTGTATAAACCCTGTTAGATAGAACATAGAAGCTATGCAGTATGTGCTTGCCAGGAGAATGCTTTACAAATCTTTCCCAGTCTTTCAAAAAGATTTTCTCACATAGTTAATTACTCCTTTAGACTGTAATGCTATTTTAACAAGTGTAGTCACTTGCTTCTTCTGTTATACTTAAACTTGAAGGTGGCTTCTTGCTGTGGAAATGGAGAAAAACATGAATTTCCTCTTCAGAAATTAAGATAACAGCAAATACTTGATACAGAGAGAAGAGCAAATACTTGATACAGAGTGAAAGTTATGAGAAGAAAGGGGAGAGAGTAATTAGGTGAAATGCAAATAAGTTAGGTAATGTGTATGTGGCCTTCTCATTCTTAATTTGGTGAATGTGATAAACTGTCCCTGTGAATTTCTAATAATAGTCTACTACATTTCATGTATACATTTTTACTTTTTCCCTGTACTAAAAACAGGTCTAACTCCTTGAATTTATTTTTGCAGCTCATGTTTTCTGGCTAGACCTGTGACCATTTCCTGTGAGACTTCACTGCACGTTTTCTCGTCTTCCTCATCCCTAATGTGTAATATCACAACATGGATCTGCTACTTTAGCTAAATTATGACCAGCAATGAATATAAGCAAGGTAGGATTATGTTACTCTTTTTAGTAAATTATTAAAGTTTTTAATTTTAATTTCAAATTTGATCTTTGAAACTGTGGAATAGTGTTTACTTGTGTTGATTTTGTGGTATTTTTTATGTTAGATTATCTCCATTTTATCAGGCTACTATAATTTTTTATTTACATTATTTACTTTTTACTTGTCATTTATCCTTCTGAATTTTGTCTTATTTGTGATGTGAATTTTTAAACTAACACTTAATAATCAGCAGAATCCCAATCTGTATTTCTCTTCCCCAACCTGTGTGTCCACCAGCCCTATAATTTCAACTGCCTACACTATAGATTAATGTGCTAGACTGAAAAGCCATTTCATCTGCAAGGTTGACGGTTCAAGCTCACCAGCTGCTCCTCAGAAACTCTATACAGGGTCACTATGGGTCAGAACCGACTCGATGGCACATAATAACAATAACCTCCAAACTAAAAATCTCATTTTTTCTTTCTCAAATATTTGTTTCATCTTCTGGTTTCCATATTTCTGTTACTAGCATTATTATTTCTATTGTTGAATTTCTTACTGTATAGTTTTGGTGGTGCTTATGTGTCCTGTAGTTGATTCCAACTCATAATGATCCTGTATGGGGTTTCTGAGACTGTAAATCTTTATGAAAGCAGAAAGCCTCATCTTTCTCCTACAGGGTGGCTGTTAGGTTTGGACTGGAGACTTTGTGGTTAGCAGCCCGACTCGTAATCCATTACACTAGCAGAGTTCCTTCTATATTGAATAATTTTTTTTTTTTTGGCTAAGTGTTGTTGAAGGAGCTCTGGTAGCATAATGATTACGAGTCAACAGTTCGAAGCTACCAGCTGTTCCATGGGAGAAAGATGAGGCTTTCTGCTCCCATAAAGACTTACAGCCTCAGAAACCCTGTACAGGGTTGCTATGAGTCAGAAGCAACTCCACAACACACTACCACCAAATGTTGTTGAGTTGGTTTCGACTCACAGAGACTCTGTATAGCGTTTCCAAGGATCGACTGGTGGGTTTGCACCACTGACCTTACGGTTAGCAGTCCAGTGCTTATCCTATAGTGCCGTACCAGGACTCCATATTGCATAGTGGTGGTGATTATGTACTGTGGAGTCAGTTTTTACTCATAGAAGCCCTGCATAGGGTTTTGGAGGCTATAAATCTTTATGGACGCAGAAAAGTCTCATCTTTCTCCCATGGTACCATTGGTAGTTTCGAACTGCTCACCTTGAGGTTAGCAGCCCAACTTGTAACCACTATACTACCAGTGCTCCTTATATTTTATTGTTGTTATTGTTAAGTGCCTTCAAGTTGATTCTGATCCATAACAACCCTGTATAGGGTTTCTGAGGAGTAGCTGGTGAGCCTGAACTGCAGACCTTACAGCTCAAACTGACCTTGAAGTCCATCACATTAACCCATGGCACCACACCAGGACTCCTTATATTGTATAATACAATGTAATTATATATTCTTTGCTATTCATTCATTTATTTAATGTACACCTCATAGTATAGGGGATTAAAAACTGTACTGCTAACTACAAGGTCAGAAGTTTGAACTTGGTGGAAGAAAGATGAGACTTTCTGTTTCCATAAAGATTTACAGCCTTGGAAACCCTATACAAGATCGTTATGAGCAGGAACTGACTAGATGGCACACAACTACCACTGTCTCCACCAGTGGGCTTCTAGGAGTCCTGGTAACAGTGAGTTATACCTTGAATTGCTAGTCACAAGGTCAGCAGTTAGAATCCACCAGAGCTTTATGGGAGAAAGATGAGGCTTTTTTGTCTTGTAAAGGTTGGCAATCTTGGGAACCTTATACAGGGTCGCTGTGTGTAGGAACCAGCTTGACAGCACTTGGCAGTAACAACAACAAATGGAACTTCTACACGTATTAGCCACTGTGCTGTCTTCTGAGGATAGAGTGATGAGTAAGCTGGATGTCCTTTATAGCTTATATTTTAGCAGAGATGATTGAAATATGAACTGATAAAATAATTGTGGAGTGTGGTAAGTGGTTTTGAAAGAAACTAAAAAGCATGTCATTTAGAAATGAAGTGGTAGAGGTTACTTAGATAAGATGGTCAGAAAAGGATCCTCAGAAGAGTTGCTATTTAAAAAAGTGTGTATTGTGTGTTATATGTATGGGGTGTGTGTTTGGTGGAGGAAGCATTCCCAGTCGAAGGAATAGTGAGTACAGAGACACTGATGGAAGAAAGGCAAATTCGAGGAACAGAAAAAGAAAACAAAACTTAGTGAGAGGGGCAGAGAAAGAGTTTATTGAAACAGGTAGGGGACCAAATCATGCGGGGCTTTTGACAAATTTTACAAGTTTGTATTTTAGTCATAATGACTGTGAGGAGTGGGAGTCCTGGTGTGGTGTTATTGGTTAATGCACTGGACTGCAAAGTTCGCTTGGACCGCAAGGCTGGTGGTTCAAGCTCACCGTCTGCTCCTTGGAAACCCTATACAGGGTCGCTATGGGTCAGAACCCGACTCCACGGCACTTAGCAACAACAGATATGAGGAGTGAACTGGTTGAGGCAGATGTGAAAACTGGCAGTTTTACCAGGGGAGAGGGGATGGTGGTGGTCTGAACTAAAAGTGCTAGCAACAAGAATTTTATTTTATTTTATTTTTTCCAATCAGAATTCTGTCTTGTCGATAGAACATACTTAAGGATGTCTCTAAGATTTCTAGATTTAGAGAAACCAGGTGGGTGCCAGTATCAGAAAACTGTCCTCATGATCTGAAGGATTGCTTATTTGACCAGAATAAAAGATAGCTCTATAAGTAACATTCATGTTAAAAATATAAACAGCTGGCAAATTTTTGTTGTGTTCTGGTTAATTTTTATTTTGCATTATTTTCCATGAAATTTTGTATGACTTTTAATTAATTAGCAATTTACTTTCATATGACTGCAGAATCTTCCTGAAAATGAAATAAATTGCTCTGTTTTTTTTTTTGCAACGTTTTAAGCTTCTTGTTTCTTGTGAGTGCTCATGAACTTTTTTTTATATTCGAATTTAAAAAATATTATGGTTAAAAAATACATGTAACATAAATTTTTGCCATTTTACCCATTTTTAAGTGTACAGTTCAGTGGCATTAATTACATTCACAATGTTCTACAATCACCACCACTATCTAATTCCAAAAGCTTTTCATTACCACAAACAGAAACTTTGTTGTTGTTTTTAAGTGTCATCAGTCGGTTCAACTCATAGCAACCGTGTGTAAGGTTTCTAAGGAGTGGCTGGTGGGTTTGAACTGCTGATCTAATGATTAGCAGTCCAGTGCTTATCCTATAGCACCAACAGAAACTTAGTGCCCATTAAGTAATAACTTCCTATTCCTCCCTGGACTAGCTCTTTGTAATCTCGAATCTGCTTATTTTAGGCATTGTGGTGCTGTTGTATTTTCAGTAATTAGGTGAATGTGTGTTGGTGTATTCCTGAGCTCTCTGATTGCCTCCTGGTAGATGGGTTCAGGAGATGGGCTTCTCTTTTCACTTCTCTTACTATTAAACTCAAGGAGCTCTGGTCGCATACTGGTTATGAATCGAGCTGCGAACCTCAGAACCTCAAGGTCAGTAGCTCGAAACTACCAGCTGTTCCATGGGAGAAAGATGGCGTTCTGCTCCCGTAAAGATTTATAGTCTCGGAAACCCTGTACAGGGTTGCTCTGAGTCGGAACTGACTCCACGGCACATAACAACAACAAAAAACAAGCTGGACACCAAACTCCAAAATCGCTAAAAACAAACCATTGCAAAATATGAGTAAGACTTTAGTGCCCCTTTTTTTGGCTTGTTGTCTTCAAAGCTGCCTGAGAAATTTCAAGATGTTGCTGTTGCACCTTATGTAACTCAAGGCTTTGTTTTTGGCCTTTATTTTGCTTTCTTGCCCTTCTTACTGTCCCTCAAGCTTTTTCAAGTGTTTCTCCTAGTGAGACACAGCTCAGGACTGGCCAGGTCTGTTTTGGAAGACTTTCCTGTTTTAAGCTGTTCCTGTTGACTTTTACCCCTTCAATTCTGTGCCCAGCTATCCTTGCTGTGCAGATCCATACATGTTCATAGTAGAACCTTGGGGTGTGTGTGTGTCCATTCGTGCAAGCACCCCCTCGGGTTCCTAGAGTGGAGGTGGGCAGACAGAGGAAAATAGAAGAATGAAAAAGATGTTTGCACCTTTATCTCTGGTGATCAGTCAGCCCTCTGCGATGGTAGTGTTCTCTTGACCTTGTATCTGGTCCTTTCCATTCAAAAAGGCTGCACCAGGACTTGCTGGCTGCCACAAATCAGAAAATACCTCCTTTCTGGCCTCTGCTCCAAACCCACTCATGGTAAGCCTTTGATCCTCCTAAATTTCCCTTTATATGAAGTTCAGAGTTCTGGAACTGTTCTTTGAACCTGTTTGTCTGGTATTTCATGTTATTATTGATAGAGATCTGCACAGCCTTTCTCCCTAATCCACCATCAAGTCCCACCTATTTGTCTGTTCTGGATATTTTAGGTAAGGAGATGATACGATATTTGTCCTTTGGGCCTGACTTACTTCATTTAAATACTGTTTTCTAGGTTCATTCATGTTGTAGCATTTCTTAATTTATTTTAATTGTATCAGAACATCATTTCTCTGTATAATTGAGCAATACTCAATGTATGTATGTACCACATTTTGTTTATCCATTCGCATGTTGAGTAACATACAGGTTGTTTCCATCTTTTGACTGTTGTGAGTAGTGCTACAATGAACATTGGTGTATGTAGTTTGTGTCTCTACCTGCTTTCAATGTTTTTGAATAAAAGACATTATTCTTTTAACATTTTTCAGCTAGTTTTATGTCTTCTCAAACTGTTAACTACAATTCTATCAAGTGATTTTATTGTTATTTTGTTTTGGAAATTCTTTGATGCATACCAAAGATGCATATTATGTTAAGTTCAGTTGACAGCATACAGTTTGTCTAAAATTCTAGGAG